TCTTAATGTTTTTTCCACCCCTCGTTGTTTTGTCTGCTGCAGGAACAGGTTCTGCCCTCTTTCCTGCTGCTCTACTGTTCGCTGAACAAGCCTTGTTGTGTCTATCTAAGGTTAAGGTGACATTTCTTGTTCTCTCTCCTACAATTGTTCAGCTTTTTTGCCTTGCCTATTAGCTCCATGCCTTCCACTACGTCTAACTTTAAGCATTATAGATATTTTGTCAGCCATTTGCCTTCTTTACTTTTACCCGCTTGGTTTCATGTGACTTCCTAAGGACTTTGCTTTCCCTTTTGTTTGCTCTACTTCCCCCCCCCACCCCCGATAAGAGACATTTGTCATGTGCCTTTATTATGTCATTTCTTTTAATTTAGCCTTTCTTGCTCCAGCTCTAGCCTCCTCTGTGCTTATTTGATTGCCTCTGTCGTTGTACATTACACTGATACTTTAGCCTTTCTTTCAATTTCGAACCAATGCTCAGTTCAGTGGTGCTGTATAAGTACTTTGCTTTAGCTTTAATTCCCTGTCTTTTTTCTCCTTTGATAGTTGGTATTTAATACATACCTTTGTTATGGCATTTCTTTATGTCAGCCTTTTCCCTCCTGAAAATTGACACCTGCTATGCTTATTTTTTATGTGCATTAAAGGTGTATGTTAGCCTTTGTTTCACCTGCTAAAGTATGTAGTGCTCAAATGGATTGACTGCTTAACTAAACGGTGTTGTATACAGACTTTTCTTTAGCTTTTATTTTTCTCTTTTCCCCCCTTTGGATGACAGTCATTTAGCGCGTGCTTTTGTTGTGCCATTTGTTTATGCTAGCTTGTTTACTGGAACTTCGTCCTCCTGCGTGCTTACTTTCGGAATACTATAGTAGTGCATTAGGGGTGTGTGTTAGCTTTTCTTTCAACTACTAAGGTATGTAGTAATCAGATGGATAGAAATGCTATGCGGCGCAAAAAATATGCGGAAATGTCTCCTACAAAGAAAGCCAAGCTCCTGTGCTCTAGGAGAGAAGCGAGAGCAGCAAAGAGAGCTGAAAAACCTTTACCTGTTCGTGTTCGCAAGGTTCCTTTAGGCTATGTAGAATCTGGTGTGTCGTTTCCAAATGCCCGTTGCATGCCGTGCCATGGTCCAGATCAAGCGCCTGTTCCCTCTCAATCGTTGGGAAACACGGATGTTGTGTTTCCCGCTGATAGCGCCCCTGCGGTTGGTGAAGGATTAGAATTCATGTCCAAACAACTACCTGGTCCCTTTGGTTGTTCTTCTTCTTCCTCCTCCTTTAACAGAACAATTCCTGTCCATAAGACGTCTCCTGCTACAGGTATATCAACATTTGTCATCATCCGATCCCTGGAACCGTTTAGCTCCCCCTCTAAGCCATCGTTTAGCGTTATTCATCTCTATTGGCTGACATTACTTCCCTTGTACCTCTCAAAACGCATCTGCCTCTGTTCATAACTGCAGATCTTCCGTTCCGTAATAGTCTTGCTCCAGTAAAATATCAGAGGTCGTCTAACGGTGTAGACCCAAAAAAAATCCCCATTCATTCTACTGCTTACCAAGTCAGTGCTGGATCAAATGAAGGAGGCCCTAGGAACATACTACCCCTTTCCCCTGAAAATGAACACTTGATGAACAATGAACATTCTGAAATTATGCTGGACTTATTTTCCTTGAATTCAACTCTTATCAACTCTGAACAACCAGTTCAGAGAAATCTTGCTTGTAAAAGTAATTCTTTCCCTGCTATGCTTTCGGATTCTGTTTTACCCCCTCCTTACACAGGTACTACCTTACCTTGGCATATTCATTGTCTTTGTATCAGTGTTGAGCTTCTTCGTCCAGCCTATAAATAATGGATGCTCATCTTTATAGCTTGTTTCTGAGAACCTTTGGCCTTTCTTCACCAGGGTCCCTTTAAGGGACTTCGGACTATTTTTTATGGCTTACTCAGTCCTGCAATCCACAGGCATTCCTGGAAAGGATGTCGTCAGGTCTAAACCACCGGCTGGTCATTTGGAGATGGGAAGCAGCGAAGGGAATCCTTCTGCTGCTCCATCTTTTTGTCGACCTCGTACTAGGAAACGCAATATTTCTGAAACTGTAGCCAACAAGGAATCAGGTTGTCGTCGATTTCTAGACTCCCTTAGCCATTGGCTACCTTATATTCTGATTTACCTATATATCCATTCGACGCAACGCTCGTGTGCAAAATAAAACTGCAGCGATGGAGCGAGCCCCTTCAACTTCATATCTACCTCGTCTTGGCAATATTCCTTCCACATCTCTGGTGCTACCAGATGCTCCTGATTGTCAGCATTGTGGAGTGAAGAGGTTCCATTTGGAGCCTCCTACCTTTTGCTGCTCGGGAGGAGAGATCTCTATCGTCGCTCCTCCAATGCCTTATGATCTGAAACGTTTGTTCACTGGCAACGATGAAGAGAGTGCTCATTTCAGAAACAATGTTCGTACTTATAACAACAACCTTGGCTTTACAACCTTTGCTGCAAAGTATGACTCTGAGCTAACAAAGAACACGAAAGGTGTTTATACCTTCCGTGTCCAAGGCCAGGTCTACCACTTCCTTGATGGCCTTATTCACTTGGGCGAAAAACCATCTGGCATTCAATTATATTTCTTTGACACTGATGAAGAATTAGCAAAGAGGCTTGGTAACTCTGATAAACTGCGCGAAACCACTTTAAGATTGCTTATGCGCGTTCTTTCTGATAATCCTTATACTCGCTTCTTTAAAAGCCTTAGGGATGTTCCAAACGTTGACAACCTGAACATTGTCCTTAATTGTTATCCTTCCCTTGACCAGCGCGTTTATAATCTTCCCTCTGCCTCGCAAGTAGCAGCTATATGGACTGAGAGTGAAGATCAGCCATCTGATAGACGCGCTCATATTCAGGTCTATTCTCGCTCAGCTGGTAGCCATAGAATCCAGCATTATTATGGCTGTTATGACCCTTTACAGTACCCTCTCCTTTTCTCCCGTGGTGAGTGTGGCTGGCACCATGGAATTAAGAGACTTCACAAAAGGAAAAGAGGACAGGACTCCTGTGAGGGCGATATTACCCTTGATCCAGCTTCAGTTAACTCCTCATCAGAGTTAATTGATTTAGAACAGAGAGGCAAGTACATTTATCCCTTGTTATGAGCTACTTAATGCAGCCATTGCATTGTATCATCTAATCCCGTATAAACTATTTTTCATCTTTTTAGCTGCTGATCGAGGCAAAACAGAGGGTGATTCTGTATCGGTTAGGGAGTACTACTGTTATAGGTTTCAAATAAGGGACAATGATGAGTCAATGTTGTTACACACCCTTAGATTGCTACAGCAGTTTTCGGTTGATGGTTATGTGAAGATAGAAACATCTAGGCTTGACTTCCATAGACATCGGCAGAACAAAATACGCTCAGAAATTCTCCAAGGAGTTCTTGATAGTGTTTCTATTGGCCAAACTGCTGGTTCTAAGGTTGGTCGTAAGGTTATCTTGCCAGGTTCCTTTATAGGCGGGCCGAGGGATATGCGTCGTCGCTACCTTGATGCGATGTCGCTGGTCCAAAAGTACGGGAAACCGGACATTTTCCTAACGATGACATGTAATCCAGTTTGGAAGGAGATTCAAGAGAACTTGAAATACCATGAAAAACCTCAAGATCGGCCAGACCTTCTAGCTAGAGTTTTTAGAGCTAAGTTTGAAATGCTTAAAGCCGAGATCCTGAATAAGCAAATCTTTGGCGAAGTTTCAGCGTGTGTTTATGTGATTGAGTTTCAGAAGCGGGGATTTCCTCATGCCCATTTATTATTGATCTTAAAACCTGGTCATAAGCTACTTAACCCGGAGTCATATGACAAAGTTGTTTGTGCTGAGCTGCCCGACAAAGATCGCTTTCCTCACTTGTATTCTCTTGTTATCAAACATATGATAAATCTTGCCCTTGCATGAGAGATGGAACCTGCAAAAATCGCTATCCAAAGAACTTTTGTCCTCAAAGAACCCATGGTGAGGATACTTATCCATATTACAGAAGGAGAGACGACGGCAAGAGTATCAGAGTTCGCAGATTTACTCTTGACAATCGGTGGGTTGTGCCTTATAACCCTTACCTACTTGCTTTATTTGATTGCCACATCAATGTCGAAATCTGTTCAACTCTTAAACTCGTGAAATACTTGTATAAGTATGTTTTCAAAGGACATGATCTGGTGAGCTTTAAGATTATTTCTTGTGAATCAGTCAGTGATGTTGATGAAATAAGAGACTTTCAGAAAGGTAGATGGGTTTCACCTCCAGAAGCTTTTTGGCGCATTTATGAATTCAAACTCAGTGAAATGACTCCAGCAGTTTACACTCTTCAAGTTCACCTTCCAGACCAGCAATTTGTTTCCTTCAACAAGAATTCTGACCTGTTGCAATTACTGAGCAAAGTTGATTTTTCTAAAACAATGTTAACTCAGTTTTTTCACATGAACAGAACAAATCAAAGAGCGCAGGCCCTGAAATGCTTCTATAGAGATTTCCCTGAATATTTTGTCTGGTCTCCTAAATATAAAGAGTGGACTGAACGAAAACGTAGAAAAGTCATTGGCCGGATGGTGACTGTTAGTCCGAAAGAAGGAGAGAGGTATTATTTGAGGTTGCTTTTGACCCACGTTGCTGGACCGACGTCTTTTGAAGCCCTTTTGTCTGTTAACGGACAAAGATCAGCTTCGTTTAGAGAGTCCGCTTTAGCTCTCGGCCTTCTGCAGTCTGATGCGTACATAGAGGACACGCTTCAGGAAGCAGTGGCGTTTCAAATGCCATCCTCATTGCGTCTGCTGTTTGCCACTCTCCTTGTGTACTGTTCTCCGACAAATCCTAAGTCGCTTTGGGAGAACTTTGAACTTGACCTTTCTGCCGACTACCATCACCGACAGTAGTTCCATGGACTTTCTTCTCTTGAAATTAAAAGAAAGGTACTGCAGGATATAAACAGTTCGCTCGAACAAATGGGCAAAAGCCTTGCTCAATTTCACTTTGTCTCTGATGAATTTACCTCCAGCTATGCTAAAAGCCTAACAAAAGAGATTGAGAGTGAAAAAAGCTTAATCGTAGAACCTGAGGATCTATTGTTGTCTCACAAGCTGAACCCTCAGCAAAAACATGCCTATGATCTGATTCTAAGAGCATGCTTTTCCTTACAAGGACAAGCTTTTTTTGTTGATGGCCCCGGCGGGACGGGTAAAACTTTTTTGTATCGATCGCTCCTCGCCACCCTGCGCTCACAGAACCACGTTGCAATTGCAGTGGCAACATCTGGAATTGCAGCATCAATCCTTCCCGGAGGAAGGACAGCTCACTCGAGATTCAAGATACCGCTTGATTTCTCGAAAACTAAGACTTGTCAACTTAGCAAACAGAGCTCGATTTCAAAACTCCTGAGTGAATCTACGCTTATTTTGTGGGATGAAGCTTCCATGGCTAAACGGGAAACGATTGAAGCATTTGACGAATTGCTAAAAGATTTAATGGATTCAGATTTGCCTTTTGGAGGAAAGGTAGTTGTTTTCGGTGGCGATTTCCGGCAAACACTGCCGATCATTGAGCAAGCAACTAAGGAAGTTCTCATAGAATCGACCTTTCCCGTTTCTCCCCTGTGGTCTCAACTACACAAAATCAGGCTCACAGAAAACATGCGAGCTATGTTTGATCCAGGCTTTTCTCAATTCCTTTTAAGGGTGGGAGAGGGGAGAGAACCTGTCGACGATCAGGGCGAGATAACTTTATCCCCAGATATAGTTATTCCTTATGTAGATAAAGAGGTGTCTTTGAACAGGTTAGCTAGCCACATGTTATCAAATTCAGCCATTTTTATAGTTATTCCTTCTACTACCATTATTATTAATCAATCTTCTTATATACAGGTTAATAGAAAGTGTTTTTCCAGATCTTAACCTCTATACCCACGATCCTTGTAACCTGATAAATAGGTGCATCCTTGCTCCTAAAAATAGCTCTGTCGACGAGCTCAATGAAATGATGATTAAGAGGTTTCCTGGAAACCTTCAGACTTACATTAGCTCAGACAAGACTGTTGATCAGCGGCACCAAAGTGATTACGAGGACTTCCTAAATTCGCAAAATCCTAAAGGTCTCCCTTCTCATAAGTTGCTGTTGAAGAAAAACTGTCCACTAATGCTTCTAAGAAATTTAAACCCAGCTGAAGGTCTATGCAATGGAACACGGTTGATATGCAGAGATCTTGGACAGCACACAATTTCTGCCGAGATTGTTTTTGGCCATCACCGAGGAAAAACAGTTTTTATTCCAAAGATACCTCTTCGATCGCCTGACAGCGACAAAAATGGAATTCCATTCATACGAACACAGTTTCCTGTCCGCCTTTGCTTCGCCTTGACCATCAATAAATCGCAGGGTCAGACCCTTGACTACGTCGGAATCTATTTACGGGAGCCAGTTTTTTCTCATGGACAGTTGTATGTTGCTCTGTCCAGAGCTAGAACTGCAGCTAAAGTCAAAATTCTTCTTGTTCCTGGAACATTTGGAGGCACAAAAATAGATTGCAAGACTCGGAATGTTGTCTTTCATGAAATTTTTAAATTAGCTCAGGAATAGATCACTTTCTACTGAAATTATGCTACAACAAGGTGCTATTCAGCTTATTACTTCTTAGATGCTGTGTTCTTGGATATTTTATTCCTTTCACTTATGCAGCAACTTATGTGTTTACAGAATGGTTAACTTGCTGCCAATGCGAGATATTGTGCCTCATATGACAAATTGGAGCTGCGACATCACTGTTCAAGAAAGGCAGCAGATTACAAGCTCAATGGGCACACCAACAAGAAAGCAAAAGTTTGTTTTCTACGATTCAGAAGTTAGTCAGAACTGATACTCTGTTTTAGAAGTAATAGTTTAAATAGGCTGTTCATTTGCTTTCTTAATCCTGTGTTTCTTTCGCCGTTTTAAATAGGGATCGAGAGTCGAAGGAATCATCTTCAATGATGACATTCCTAGAATGAGCCAGATCTTGTAGATTTATAAAAAGTATAGAATCTCCAATGCTGAAGTCAGGCCTATACCATCAAAGTTCCAGACATCTGACCTTACAGTTCAATGGGTGATCAGTAGCAGGACTGTCATTGACAAAATTCCAGATGATGATGAAGTCATGCCTGTGAAATTCTGCTATTCAATGTTTACTAATTTAGTTCAGTACATGGATGACAAAACTAAATCAATGGGTGAGTCCTTCAATGCCTTACTCTTAATATGTTTACATCTCAGTCAACTTTTTAATAGTCAGCTTCTCTGAGTTATTCATAGATGTGCTGGGAGTAGTGATCAGTGCACTTGAGAGGAAAACAGTTACTAAAAACTCAAGGCAATCAGATGTTCAAAAGTTTGTTCTGCTTAATGAAGAGTAAGAGCTTTAAACTTCAGCTTAGCAAAAAACTTCACGCTACACCTCCTGCTCTTTCTCTACAACTTGATTTCCCAGTCTGTGACTCTTAGTTTTAATCCCAACTACAGATCACAGACAGTCCTGTTGTCTTTATGGGATAACTTTCTAGCTAATGAGGGAGAGGACATGCTATCTAAGCTTCACAGCTATCCTGTGATAATTGCTCGCAGAGTCAGAGTGAATAACTATAATGGTTTGCTCCAACCATTTATTCTTTCCATTATTTACATTTATCCTCCTATAGTCGCCTGCACCAGCTGTAATTCTTTCTCCATTTTTTTTCAATATATAGGAGTCGCACTTGGAACTTGGTTTGATTCAGCAATTCTTGTTGATCCGCCTATACAAGAAGCAAGAGAGCTCAAGAACTGGTACAATATATTTACAGTCATCATTCTGTACATAGTTTAGATCGCAATGCTATCCTGGCTTCCAGTTCTAAGATTTAAAATGTCTCCTATGGCACAGGGCTTTAAGGAACATTGACCTGATTAAAGAAATTGTTGGAAAAAAGGCCTATATTAAATATGATCCACAACTGTCATTGAAATCAGACCAAAAAACAACTTGGATTTGTAACATAACTTCATCACAGAAGGTTTGTAACGAGCAAATTTTACCTCCTTTCGTACTTTTCCTGCTGTATGAACAATTTTTTTAGACTCTTGTTTGCTGGCCTTTCAGACTATATGGGTGAAGGCGCAGGTCTCTTTCAAACACATCTTCCAAAAATATTGGTACATGAGCTGTAAAAACTGTTGCCGAGCTACAGCTGCAGGCCATGAAGTTGTGTTTACATGTAACTCGTGCAAAGAGAAACATCCTGCAGTTCCTAGGTACTAAATAATATATGTTTCATATATTGCTTTCTGTTCAGTGTTATCTAATACTGATAAAGTCAATAAATGCCTCCCTGCTTACTGTGTGCCCCTTTTCAGATGCCGCTTTGATGTTGATTTAACTGATAGCACTGGTGTGATACCAGCTTCATTGTTTGGCGAATTGGCAGAAAAGCTATTGACATTTAATGCGCTGGAAGCAATGCAGCATTTTAATGAGGTTCTTACCTCGTAAGTCTTAGTACTTAAGATATTATACAATTTTTACTCTTGTTCTTTGTTTCCTTGACAGAATGTTGAACTGCCGCTAGAGTTTGTCCATAATGAGCTCAGCTCAAAAACCTTTCTGCTACACATCAAACCTGTGCAAGCACAGCTCGCCGATGCAAGACAGCGTTACACGATTTTATACTACTCTGAAATTGATGATGCTACCGCTTCTGCCCAGTTAGCAATGCAACCAAAAGATGGCTCTCCTTTTCCTACCAAAGAATCTGACACCATACAGTTGGGAACTCCAGGTATAGATCAAAATACCTGATTTCTGTTCTACACCTATCTGCTAAATTTATGCATATCCTGACATGGCACAAATTTATGATCGCAGGAGGAAATAGTGCTCGTTCAAAGATTTGTGTTCGACTTTCTGATAGGTTTGATGAGCCTCAAAACATTGAACCAGATGAGGATGAAAATGCAGAGTGCAGCTCTAGCAAGAAGCAAAAACTAAACTAGGTTGTTGCTGTGCCGTTTTGCATCCACCTGATCTTTAGATGCTGAGCCTAACCTGCTGTCCTCTATTTCTCCCAAAGTTTTTTGTGCAAACTTACAAGCCTTATTTAGGTGCTAACGAAACATGTGTTTTTGTCCATGGATACCCCTTAAACTTCTTTTTGTTCTACCAGCTCTTGTCTTTCCTACAAAGCTGCAATCAACATCAACTATGTATCTAGATTCGTGCTTTGCAGCTGTTATGTACTTGTTGCAGTGGCCTTTAAATTCAACTTCTGCTGTCTTCAGTTTATTAATTACCCTCCTGGTGGATGTGATATTTCTTGTGCATCAATTTTTCAGAATGCATTCCTCAGAACCTATTCAAGTCTTCCCCTAGACATAACTCTCTTATTAAATATCGCACCTGCTTTATGACCTGAACTTACTCTTCTCACCAGCTCAGGCTCGGCCATCTATTATCCGTAAAATATATAGTTGCTCAGCCTTCAATAAATTTAAGCCTAGACAACTTTTCCCTTTGGTCAACGTTAAATAATTTAACAAAGACAGATATGACAGATGATTGAGCCACTTGCTTGTGAAAAATGGGAGCCAGACTAAATATAAAAGCCTTGGGATCATTAAATTTCCTGTGAGCCATCCATTCTTTATATATACCTGCTACTTAAATAGAGTATACATCTCAACCAATTCACGGCTACAAGTTAACTTTTCCACTCCTTTCCCCCGACTTATCCCTACCGCTTGCCACTTTTCTTTGCTTGCGTATAGTTAGATCGATGGCAGAAGCATTAGCTACCCATGGATTAACAAACAGCAGCTCAATGGCCTGTTGTTTTCTGCTTAAATGCAACCACAAAGGCGAGGTATAATCATTCATTCATCTGCTGGACAATGCATGTTAATGATATGCAACACATTTACATATATTCATTTAACATTTCCTGTTCTTATCTCTAAATACACAGATTCTGCCAGCTGAATTCAAGCAATTACTTAACCAACACCGCCACAATACAATCATTCTCAGGCATGGAATTCATAAATGGCCTGTTGTCGTCGGCGATCGTTCATTTGAAGAAGGTTGGGATGAATATTGCCATGAAAATATCGCAACCAGACATGATATGCTGCTTCTGCGCCATATCGGAGATCTCGTCTTCAATGTCATCCATTTTTCCGAGCTGCAAAAACAAATTTACCTATCTTGGACAGTTCCATTGCCAAATTTATCGCTCTCTGGTGCTGACCATCCCCAAGGTCAGTTTATGCCTCACTTTATATCATGCAGTTGCTTGTACGAAAATTTCGTCCTGATTTATTATCTGCTAAATACCTTCTCACGCTGCAGATTCTGTAATACTTCAGCAGTCAGTTGCTTCATCAATAAAGCCCAATTTAGCCCAAAACCTCACTGACTCGGTTTCCTTCTACCAAACCTTTCATACAGCAACTCCAAACACATTGGTAATAAATCCTTACCCTACTTCTTTCTCCTCCTCTTACTGCACTGCTATAAACAGACTCTATACATTATGTATTCGAATTTAACTTTCGTCCATTTCTATTAGAAAATCCCAAGATTCGTCGATCACTTTGTTAATGAACAAAGAACTCCAACGCTTCTCATTAGGACCGGAGAAAATCTTACAGAGATTGGTGTAAAAGGGAAAAAACTAAAAAAAAATTGGAGAAACTTCGTTCTCCAGCATCGGTTGCAGCACAATGAGATCCTTGTGTTTGTTCCAGAATCGGCAACTACGTTCACAGTTTTAATATTTGATGATCGTGGAGTTGAGAGGATCTTTCCATGGTCTTGCATCTTCACAATTTTTTCTAATTGTCCTGCTTTTACCTAGATTAAGCAGCATCCTTTTCTCTGTAAAAAAAATCGCTTTTCTCTTGAAGCTTTTTATCAGACATGGTCGGAATTTTTTTCCCCTTCGAGCGCACTATACATTCCTACTAAATATAACTGCATTACAATGAATTTATGCATGCGACAACTACATTTCAAATACCTAACATCAACCTTTGCCACTAATTTTCTTCGCATACTTATCAATTAATTTTATTGACTCTGCCATGAAACTCAACTCCACAAACAAATTTCCACCTTTCCATACATCGACTGGTTAATTCGTTCTCCCAACAATAACTTCATTTAGAAAACATTTCCATTCCCTGTGAAGAAACAATAAATTTCAATTGCAAGACATTTCCATAGAATAAAAAAATTGCAAACTATTGAACATCATCGGAGTCAATTCTTATTGTAAATTTAAAAACAGCAAAAAATGATCAACCTTCCACAGGAAAATTGAAAAAATTTAATAACCTTTGCTCGTTGTTTAATCTTTTTAGATCTCTCATTTACTTCTCCCAACGCTTTGCCACGTCTCTACATAAAACAAAACCATCCTGATGAACTTCAATTTTACTCGCCTCGATTTTTCCTATTCAATCTTTTTCTCAACAACATGATGAATGCAAACTTTTATTTACTCACTTGTTCTCTTGCAACATTGCTTACTTCAAAGCTTACTCATTTTTTTAGCAACTAACTCTAACGCAATACATAATTTATGATATTTTCGCTTGTAAATATGGGCATTTTTTCTGGGCATCATGAAATTAACACCGCGCATTGCGCGGTGAACCCCTCCTAGTGAGTCTTAAAGCTCTCAAATTAGAAGGTAAGGAAAAGTTTATCAATGCAAACGTAATGCCAAATCTACAAATAAGGAGTCCTGATACATTGCAATCATTAGTATAAACAGTCATAAAATGAGCATACATAATACATAAGCTTAAAAAAAATAAAAGCATTTGCATTGAAATTTAGCATGGAACAAACAAGTTCAATATTCGGCAAAACACTATAAGGAAGACAACTAATTATAAGTAACATTTTTACAAATCAACGTACTATACACACTTAAGACACGAACAAAAAAAGCAAGTTTAGTTTAGAAAAACCACTGTACACTAACAAATCAAATTCACAAGTGGTGAATAGTGTACTTGGTGTATTGGAAGCCTTCAAGTAACCATTTTTTCTTTTTGTCTTTCGGAGTTGAGAAAGAATTATGTCACATTTGGATAATTAGACCACGAAATAAAAAGGGTCATTGATGAATCATGGATAAAATGGCAAAACAATCATACGATGATTGAATAAGTAGTTTAGCTCGTTATTTATTTGCAAACGTATAGTCGTTAATTTCAATACTAAGTTCAAGAAATAGCAGTGGCCTTACAAATATTTTGGGGTGTCACAAACAAGGAAACAAAAGGATATTGGTATTTTTCAGAAACAAAAAAGAGTGAGATTAAAGCTGGGAAATGCTAAGAAGTCAAGGAGAAGATGCATGGTAGTTTGGGTTGGGCCTTTAAGAAGCTTTTAACATGAGGGATAGATAGATAGGCCTGCTGGGTCAACTTCAATGAATCCAAATCTACTAGAAAAGCATTATTTCTTGGTCATTACTTCATAATTATAGTACAAAAGGGAAAATCATAAGAAATAATGATAAGGGTACTATCCTCTTATTTCATGAGTTTTACTATACTCTTATTGAATCCAAAAGTTATAGTTTTACCATTTAAATTTTCTTCTAATTGTTGTAGTTTTGCATCTTATTCAACATGCTGTCTAGCTTTTTGCTTTCATTGGAACTATAGCAACAATTGAAAAAGCATATTCATCTAGTTTACAAAGTTCCAACAAATAAAAATGAAATGAATTTTATAAACAGTGAAAAATTCAGCAAGTTTATATCTTTTCCTGACTTAAAAAAATTGCAACAATTGAAAACAAGAGAAATAGATACTTATGAAAATTCTTATGCATCCCATAAACCAGCTAATTTTTGGCGGTTCATCAATCTTATCTTGTTGTTTTTTTTTTGGCACCCCTTTTTTATTTGATGAATGTCTTTTCTATTTGTTACTATAGTCCAACTGAAAACTATTGCTGAATAGCAATTGCGATGACAACTGGAAGACACAAAATTTAAATGTTGAAGCTCAAATTTTGGGATTCAAGGAAGGACAAAAGTTTAGAGACAGAAAGATTATTAGGATTCATAATCAAAATCAATATGACATTTTCATTTTTGTACGGTTCCTGTTATGAAAGCTAGGATCACTTGACTTGTTGATTTAAAAAAAAAAAAAGAAAAGAGAAAGAATGAGCACTAAAATTGATCAAAAATCAAATTTCCTTTTTTGTATGGGATGCTAAAATTTTTTTATAAATGACTAACAGGACCTATAATTTATATTATTTTCGTTTCTTTTACATTTTTTTAAAAGTGAAGAAAAGATATATCGGTTGCAATCTTGATAAATGCAACTAATTAGAACTTTCCTTAGTAGATAACATTAATAGGATGACATTCTACAATTAAGATTTAGAAATATGGCCCTGTTTGATAATCCAATTCAATACTTAAATTTAATGAATTCAACTATTAACCTATTCAGACTGTTTGATAGCTAAAAATTAAGTATCTAAATTAATTAAGTAGCACTGAATTTTCTAAGCAAAAGTTGCTTCTAAAATTAAGTGATAAACTATTCACTTATCACTGAATATGATATGTACTCAAATGTATTAGATTTAATACTTAATAATTCAATAACTTAATGGATTCAAACTTTAGATTTCAAATTTCAGACTTCAATTTTATCAAACGTACCAATTCCAACATTTTATTGGAGCGAAGAGTGTAATAGAGCAGAGAGTGTAATAGAGCGGAGTCTAGTACCATTGCAATCATTAGAATAAATAGTCATAAAATTAGTGTACATTATAATTTTTACATAAGCTTTAAAAAAGGAAACAATTGCTTTGAAATTTTGCAGGGAAACAAGTAGTTTATACAAAGAACTTTAGTACCAAGTGTGCATTTAATAAAGTTGAAGTTTAAAAACTAAAATTTGAAATCCGAAATTTAAATCCATTAAATTATTGAATTGTTAAATATTAAATCACC